ATGTTTGAGACCCAAGAAGAAAGGACTCGAACCTTTGCAAGAAAGACAACACAATTCTAAAAAGGACTCTCTGTCTCTACGAGGAGTTTAGTGGGGTGAAAGGATGAAGCAATTTCATTGTGTGATGGTTTTTTTTTGTCTTGAGGAAAATATTTAATACGCTAATGAAAAAGTAGTGCCTGAAATTGTTGTCTTTATTTTATGATCCACCTCATCTTATATCAGGCGTGTGGGCAGAAGGTTCCAGCCTCCTAGTCTCTTTCTTGGGAGAGCCCTGTGGCTCAGTCTGAGTCTGTTACATTCATTATTAACACAAACAGTTGCCAACTGTCCCTGAGGCAAAATATGCTTGAGGCCAGAAGAACCCTAAATAGATAAACAGTTTTGCTTATCCCGGTGTGATACATAACACACACACACTCACACGCACACACATACACAATCTGTAGGACATAGCGACTTTCCAAATTTTTCTTTCAGCATGAGAGGGGAAACATAAGGTCTCTTTGAATTTCAAAGAGAACTTGTTAAAATTAGGGTCCGATGCATCTTCAGATGTGCATTTAAAATCCAGTATTAGCTGGATGGCAGATAGAAAGCATTTGTGTGAAAGGTGGGGAAATAATGATGGTCTATGTTTTATTATAAGGGAAGAAATGACTTCATGAAATAGTCCCTGCTTCACCTATCACACTTTGCTGGCTTCAGACATCATTGCTTCTAACTTTAGATCACGGCATGCCATTTTTATGCCTGATCCTTCAGAAATAACTGCTGCCTGTTTGCTTGAGAGTCTACATTGTTTGTTTTTATAGATCAGCAGGGTGGCCTGTCTTAAGACCGGACTATATGTGGAGGAAAATGTAACATGGCTGTATCACTAATCGGAAAGGGATGTGGTAAGGATCTGCCTGTAGATACAAGGATATGATATATTCGAGCTCACTAAATTACATTAGCAAGAAGAATTCTTGACATGTTAATCGTGTTTACGAAATGTACTGCTTTTCATTAGAAAAGAAGGACAATGATTGGACATTAATTTTTCATTCTTTGGTAAAGGTAAAGAGGCTTATAGTTATGATCCAACATGTCATTCCAGGTACAGACTCTAGAAAAACTCTTATTAGACTTGAGCACTTAGAGACATGTATAAGAACGTCCTTGCAGTTATATATGTAATAGTAAAATACTGGATCCAAATGTCCATTAACACAACAGTGGATAAACAAAGTGAGGCTTCCTCATACGGTGGAATATTTTGCAGCAATGAAAATGAATGAATAATGACAAGCTTATACAACCCAATAATATTCTATTGAGAGAAAAAAAGTAAGCCAGAGAAGGATACATATAGTATTATTCAATTTATGTGATGTTCAAAGGCTTGCAAAATGTATTTGGCAGAGATTCCAACATATTCAGCGAAACTATATAGAAAAGGAAAGGAAATAAAGGGGAGGAAATAAAAGAGGTGAGATTAGTGAAGATCATTACAAAGATTCAGAAGTAATGATCATGTTCTTTCTCTTAAACTTGCTGGTGTGAACCTATGTATACACTGTATTATGTTCTTTATACCTTTGCACACACACACACACACACACACAGAAGAACCTCTGAAGTTAACCACCCAAGGGACTATAGCAAATAGGTCATCACATGGAGGTGGTCAACATAAGGAACGAGGCCTCCTGTACTGATACATACATGTGGTGTATGTCCAGTCTACGAAAAGTAGGTCCATTTAAGGAGGTGGTCAATATATAGAGGTGCTCAACTATGGGGGGGGGGTTGTGTGTGTATGGTATATACATATATGTATATATAAATATTTGTTTGTTTTCTTTCGCTTTTTTGAGACAGTGTCTCTATCTAGCACCCAGGTTGAAGTGCAATAGCATCATTATAGCTCAATGCACCTCAAACTCCTAGGCTTAAGCAATCCTCCTGCCTCAGTCTCCTAAGTAGCTGGGACCTATAGGTATGACCTCCCATGCCCAGCTCATCTTTCTATTTTTAGTAGAGACAGGATCTCGCTTTTGCGCAGGCTGGTCTTGCACTCTTGACTGAGTAAACCTCTGGTCCCAGCCTCCCAAAGTGCTAACATTACAGACATGAGCCACTGTGCCCAGCCCCTTTACATGTATTTTATGAACCAATTTTTGAAAAGCAATGGTATACTTTGTTGATTATTTCCCCCGGAATCTGATTCTCTTTATAGTCCAAAGCTAAGAGCAGAATAATAGCAACTCATACCAAATGTAGCACCCTAATCTGGAGTATGAAATGATTATCGTCCCCTGACGTCTAATCAAATGAGCTGCCTTTATAACAATCGATTTTTCTGGGCGGTGCCTGTGGCTCAGTGAGTAGGGCGCCGACCCCATATACTGAGGGTGGTGGGTTCAAACCCAGTCCTGGCCAAACTGCTACAAAACAAATAGCCAGGTGTTGTGGCAGGCACCTATAGCCCAGCTACTCAGAAGGCTGAATCAAGAGAATCGCCTAAGCCCAGGAGTTGGAGGTTGCTGTGAGCTGTGTGACACTGCCATGGCACTCTACTGAGGGTGATAAAGTGAGACTCTGTCTCTGCAAAAAAAAAAAAAAACAATCGATTTTTCTGCATAGCAAAGCCTTTCTGTTTGTTCAGTTATGACTGTTAAAGCAATCTGACACCATTTCTTAGTACAATTATGTATGTAGAACTCATTTCTTCAGTATTCTCTCTTTAAAATCAAGGAGAGAGAAACATAGCAAAAGGCAAAACTTCACAAAATCAGTTCTAACTAAGTCACAACACTAAAGTATGTAAATGTTGACATCTGCAAGTCATTTTCACTGCATCAGTCACAGAACCAAGCCGGTTCTTTCTTACAAGATTACTCCAGAACTCTGGGCTGTGTACTTCCCTAAGGACAGTAACTCAGAGCTCAGGTTTAATGTATCAGAACTGAAGAGAGCCAGAGGGGGTCAGCACTAATGCAGCTAAGCGAGCCTTTGGATAGGACCCAATTCAGAACCTCAGGTTTGCACAGAAGGATTTCCAAGCAGCATCAAAACTCTTGGAGGAATAGAAATGCATAGAAAATGTACCCTGGGGGGAGAGAATTCCAGGCGACTACAGAGAGGTGCTGAGTTTGGGGAATTTAAGGTTGCCCGTCAGAGATCTGCAAAGGTGATCTGACTAAAGTTAAAAATCAGACTTGGATCTCAGCCTCCCTGCCATTACTGTGTCTCTGCCACAGACAAGGGAGACAGCACAGGGCAGGATTAAGAGTAAGTCTGGGAGGGTGAGATAGTAGGACTGAATTCTTGTCCATCTCCAGAGCCACAGACTGGCTCTCAGTCTCTGTAAGATAGGGATGATGACCCAGGGCTGCAGGGATTAAATGTTCAGTTATTAGAACAAACCTGTCCTCTGTTTTGTAGTCAGTGTGATTTCTAAAGTACAACACCTGCCTCTCCTCTCTCATTTGAAACTCAATCACTGGTTTTCCACTGCTTAGGATAAATACTCTAACTTATTCTCTTTTTCATTTCAAGTTATTACCAGGGCACAAATGTTTTTGGTGACATGGATCACTTTAGTAATGCTTGAGTCACAGCTATCAGTATGCCCATAACCCAATTCATGTTCATCGCACCCGTTAGGTAGGTCTTGGCTCCTCCCCCACCTGTTTGGTTTCCACTGTTTTACATTCCTCTGTGCACATGTGTGCTCCTCAGTTAGTTCCAGTGTAGTAGCCAGTACATGCGGTGTTTATTTTTCCAGTTTTGTGATACTTCACTTAGGCTAATGATCCCCAGTCCCATCCAAATTGCTGCAAGAGGCTTTAAGTCATCCTTTTTTATGGCTGAGTAGTACCCCATAGCATACATATACCACTTTTGTTAATCTACTTACAAAATGATGGGCACTTGGCTTGATTCACATCTTTGCAATTGTCAATTGTGATGCAATAAGCATTTGTGTGAAGGCATCTTTTTGATGAAAAGTCTTCTCTTCCTTTGGGTACATACTCAGTATTGAGATTGCTAGATTGAATGCTAGGTGTACCTTAGGTTTTTTTGAGGAATCTCCCTACCTTTTTCTGTAGAGTTATAGTAATTTGCAATCCCCCGAACAGCGTGTGAGCATGTGTGAGCACTCCTTTTTCTCTGCATCCACACCAACATCTGTTGTTTTGGACTTTTTAACAAAAGCCATTCTAGCAGGCTAAGGTAATATTCTAACTTCTCAATGCAGCTTTCAATGTCTCTTGATGGTCTGGCCCCTGCTTCCCTCTCCAGCCTCATTGACTATGGCCGTTCAGCCCCATTAGACTAAGTTCAGCTCCCCAACTCCCCTGCTTGCTCAGATGGCCTGCGTCACACATCTCCCCACCCATCCTCACCAGAAAGCTCCTGCTGCTTTTCAGTGCTCAGCTGGGTGGTCTGAAACATGAAACTTCTCAGTTTTTGAATATGTATTAAATATGTATATATGTCTGTATATCAGTTTATGTAAATTTATCTGTATGGCATTCTGTACCACTTTAGAATGTACACTTTCAAATTGTTTTCTATATTCTGCCTATTAGCACACTGTGTGCAGATAATTAACATTAAACACCACCACCAACCAATTTACTGTTTCTTGGGAGCAATTTGTAAAAATATGGTAGTTGTTCTGGCATCTTCTGGGAAATAGTTTTGTTATATACACATTTTAGTTATTGACTATTTCACACTTCAATGTAAAATGAACCCACTCATAAAACAGCATCTGACTGAGGACCGCCATTTTGCCACAAGTAAGAGTAGCTTCTTGGAAGTTTTTCTATCAGTCAACAGTAGGCAGTTCTAAAAATCAGACCACAGGGGAAGGAAACAAAAGACTGGTCAGCAAAGTCGGGGACTGCTGTCAATCTGTACGATGTCCCTTTTCTGCTTCAAAAAGCAGACCACGTAAGTTTGACGATGGAACCCCGCAACGGCAAGCACAGGGCTCCTCTCACCTCGGCATCAAAGCGCGGATCCTGGTAAGCATCGCTGATGTTCACGGGAAGGCCTGTGGAAGCAACCAGCTCGGCAATGCTGTTATTTATCAGCCAGTCAGAGTAGGAAGACTTCTCCACACTTTCTTTGAAACTTTCAGAGCCAAGACAGGGAGTAAGAAAAGAGAGAAACATAAGTTGGCTTGGAAACAAGCATAACCTATGCTAATAGCAGGGTTATCTATCCTCATTAAGAAGAGGTAAGTGACATTACTCACGACAGTAACAATAGTAACTACTATCAGTAGTTACTTTAAAATCACTTATCCACGATCATGTACAATAAACAAACCCTGGGTAGATACCACAGACTCTCTGTGAACCAGGGAACAGCTCTAAGTTATATTTAGGCTCCAAAGCAGCAGACATAAAGCTCATAATCAGGTAGTGATCAAAACTGACAGCAGGGCATCCACGCTGGAGCCTAATAACATCCCACCAGCCTCCCGAGCCCACCTCCCTTCACTAAACAGACTAAAAGTTTTGGCAGCAGGAAAAATGAAACCTCAAAATGGAGAAAAATCAGAAAATAAATTGAGAATTTGTAAAATTCCAAGGGTAGCAAAAAAGCATGTCTAGACTATGTGTAATCATAGTATTTATTTTAAAACCTATTTTAACATCTTAGTATCTATTTTTGTCATTTCGGAGTCTGTTTTTTTAACAAAAGCACATTTCCTGCTTACAAAACAGCACTTAAAAGCCTGTTTTACTACTACTGACTCTTAACAGTAATTTAAATAACATCTATATTTGATTGGAACAAGAAGTTTTATGCCAGATGATTTTGTGAATGTTCCCTTTTATCACAGCATTTACAGAAATGCTGCAAGATTGAGTAAGCTTCCCTGCTCCCTCTCCCCTTCCCATCTTTTCTTTCACAGGGGCGTAATGAGCACTTGTATGAATTGTGGAGACACAAAATTGTGTGTAGTTCAACAGCATTAGCAAGAAAAAGTTTCACAGAGGATATCTGATTGGTGGCTTGGAAAACGGTGACCGAAATTATGTGAACGAATATGAACATCCTAGGGCAATATCTTTCGAACTATAGTCTAGTCTGTAGAATGAGTGTACTACAGCCATAATAACTGTTGACTTTTTGGTATGAAAGAAAACCCTAAGTACTGTACATGGTCCTTGTTACACAACAATGTGCCTGTGTGGAGTTTATGCCATACTGAGAATGCCAGAAACTGAACACTGGATGCGTGAATGAATGGGTGGGAAGCACACAGGGTATCTACCCTCATTAATATAGCTTGTCTATAATGACTGCTGCTCTGTGTCAGATAAATCCAGCATATATTTGTAATGTTATTCATTTCTTATTGGACAGTAAACATTAATAGTACATAAACTTATTCTCTATGGATCTCTGGGTAAAAAATGAAACTTTTAATACAAATCTGAGTCTTGCATTTCTTAGATGGTGCCTAAATCAGAAAAGGAAAAAGACAGAGTACTTCAAAGAGAAGATGAAGCTTTATTTTCTAAAACAAAAGAATAGGCTCGGCGCCTGTGGCTCAAGCAGCTAAGGTGCCAGCCACATACACCTAAGGTGGCGGGTTCGAATC